GCAACCAAACCACCATGTGTAAAATACTGTACTGTGTTGGTGGTGTTAGTAGTATGTATTAGTGTAATGTTGTATATCAGCTGATGTACTGCCATAATCATGGACATCAAATCCACAAGAACAGAGGAGTTTATGTAAAGTTTAATCATGATTCTTATTTGATGTAGAACTGCAGCCAGTTTTCGGTGTGTGTCTGACTCAGACACAATGTCCAAGATTTCTACTTTACCGCCTTTGCCCAATGCCGCGCTCAGAACTCCCACACACACACAAAGTGCCACACACAAACATGAACATGCCTGATGATGCGTTTATTTATAGAGCTAAAAATTGGTGATACATGATTAGAACTTGCATTTGAGGGCATTGACTTTTTTGTAGGAGACAGAAAACACTGGGAAAAGGGAAAACAGATACAGTCATCTGCCCACTGATTAAGAGATTAAGATAAAAACAAGAAAAAGAAAGACACAAACTTGCAAGAGCGAGAAACATGAGACAGAATAAGAACCTTGAAAATAGCAGGCTGACCATAAGGGAATAAAAATATAAGGGGTCTCTGGTTTCTAAATACATACTGATGTGTTAATTTAAGCTTGTGTTTGTCCGTGTGTGTGAGAGGGTGCATTTGTGTGGGGGCACACACCCGCTCTGCCTGCCCAGCGACCCAGAGGAAATGGCGAGGAGCAACATATTGTAATGGCTTAGAATTGGAGGCAGACATACGCAGAAGCAGAACACTCCTCATCCTAACTGCATGTTAACACTGTGCATATCAGCAGAAATCTGAAATGCTTCACAAAAAATTCTATTGGGCTTTGTGCGTTTGCCCATTTCATTTTCAATATCTTTCTGCCTTAGGGAGATACACTTTGTTTTACACTGATATGCTGCTTTTTGTCTGCTCGGACCGTGTCTGGGCACTGAAATCAGTATCCTGAGATACTAGTGTGATGCTTACAGTATGTGGTCTTTGGTCTCACCGCCTTTCTGTTTTGTACACACACAGCTCAAAGACTATACTGATGTTTTTGTTCCCGTACCTGGGATTTACACATTTATTTTTCCTGTTTTGCTCACTTGCTTTTTCATATTTCACATAAATCTTTTAAATTCCAAATAAATCCACTAGTATTCAGTACAGAAAACTAGTTTTATCAGAGTAAAAAGACCTCTCAAACAGTATTTTGAGTATCATGGGACCTGAATCAAAGCACAGCCAGTTAATTTAGATAGGACACTGGATCTGATTTATGCTGGAGAAAATTCCAGGACACAGCACTGCCTCTGAAGAATTAATTTGTACAAGGCATTGATTAACTGGATGATTAAAAATAAATTAGTAAAATGTATAAACAAAATTCAAATCGCAGGTTTACAGACTGTTTTTCTTGTACTATAACTGTGATGGTGAAAAAAGCATGAGCGGACTGAGGTCATTTTAAACATTTGATGTTGGAATAAAGGCCTCTATTGCTCTAATGAAATTGCAAGCCAGTGTATCAGTCTCAGTGTAACAGAGATTCACAGGGTGAGACTGTGTGAGAGACCAAAGATAAAAGGCACACTGTAGTGATTACATCTTGCAATATGAATGTGTTGAACAGACAAACTGCAGGATGATTCTTACATTCTTCATGCATGCCAGTCATGGAAATACAAACATAGCTTGCTTAAATAAAGCACAAGAGCTAATATTTCAATGAGTTGATCCTTATGAGTTTAAATATGTTTATTCAAAGCTACAGTATGTATTTTTTTTTTCAAATTTTTTTTGTTGTAGAAACTTGCTCTAAACCTTGTCTTAATGTGGAGAGGTGCTGTCGAAGCCTCGTGTGACCCAGACTCACTGAACGGCTCCGGCAGCAGTGCAGAGATATTAGCTTCTAATAGGTTTTGAGAGGGATTGACCTCTTTAACCAATCAGAGATTTTGAATTATTTGTTTTTTTGCATTCTCATTTCTTGTAATTTCATAATAACAGATATCTGAAGAGCTGGTCAGAGCATGGCAGAGCGTAGCAGACTGTACTGGAGCATAGTGGAGCAGGGAGAGGGAGCAATTGATTCAGTTTCATGCTAGCGCTACCTTAAGTTACATTTTGTAGCTTTAATGCTATTATGCTCATCTTAACTTTATTTCTTATTCAAAGCACACACTCAGGTAGCCTTTAATAAGCTCAGGGGATTACTGAAACACTGATTTCTAAGGAATTACCTTGACAACACTGACTAAAACATCAGTCAAAACTAATCTTTGACCTGTTCATATGCTACAGTAGGTCAAGGGTCACTAACATCATCATTGTGAGAATCATGAATGCTCATAAAAAATATCATGGCAACTGAGCTAATATTCTCACGCAACCTTGCTCTGGACTAAAGTACTGGATGAGTCAACCTAATGACCAACAGCTCTCTCCATCCCTCGGTGGCTCACAAGGCAAAATCAATCACAGTTTGATGAAGACACTATCCACTGTGGAATTTTTTACAGATCTGTATCACATTCATGTTTTTATCATCTAGTTTTATAAACAGCTATTTAGAAAATGCAATTTTCCCATTGCATCCACTTAAGAAAGACAAACCAGAGATAAAACAGGGACAAACACTGCCACATACCAAGCAGGTGACACTAATGCAGTTTCTAATCTTCACAGGAGCTTGTCAACCTCCGGTAAATTATATCATCTCTGTGACTGACAAACAACAGGGTGTGAGTAACATCTCCAAAAGTGTCTTGCCGTTTTGTTTTTCATGTGTAACGTACATGCAGGTACTGTATGTATTATACTGTATGTGCAAGTAGAATTCTGCAGATGAGGTGTGTGTATTTGGTGATGCATGTGTGCTCAGAGAGCGCTGGCAGATGATGATGTTTGGATGCAGGGCACACAGATATATTTGTGGGCGAGGTGGGATTGTCTCATTGCATGTCAATGAACCCCTGTGTCACTCCTGCGTGATTACTGCAAGAAATGACACAAATCAGCCCTCCAGCCCTCAGAGACACAGAGAGGAGGTGGGGAGGGTGATATAGAAGGAGGGATAATTTTAGAAAGAGTGAGACTTGATGTTCTCAGATAATCTTGAGCATGACTGTGAATTGTTTGCATGTGTGTGTGTCGTTTCTGCTGCCAAATCCAACGGCCAGCTGAGCCCCACAAACACCTCTGATGCCCCCACTGAAACATAGTGGTGAATCTTTTGTATAAAATGTACCAGATTGTGTCTTCATAAGCATTAGCACATATTGTTTTGTTTTATATTTTTAACCAATTTATTGTTGTGTTTTAAGGCCACAGTCTGTGTGTGAGACTGTACAAGTGACAACATTGCTGTGACTGACTGGATGTATTGTTCCTGATGTCCCGACGAGACTGAGCTGCATCTGGAGACACACATTTACACATACATACAGTATACACACACATGCACTATTGTGCTCTTTTAATGAGTGCATGAGAGAACAAAGCTGATAAAAATGCATGCCATGGCTCAGCCTAAAAAAGAGAATAAGAAATGGGCTACTGTGCTGCCATGCAGCATGCCTAATCACTGCACACACACACACACACACATATACAGCACATGCACCTTGACACTGTATTGGAAAGAATCACATTGAGACACACAAATACACCGACACAAGTACAGACATTGCACAAAACAAATAAAAACACAAATGCTAATCTAAAATATAAAAATATCACTCCATTGTACAGGCCGGCACCGATATTGATTCTGCTTTTGCAGTGCCCTTACTCTACAGAGGCATATGGTTAAGAGGCCCTTACAAGTTCACGTTTGTGTCTGCTTACATAGTATATGATCCACTATATGTTTACAGTGCAGTTTGTTAATGCTCCTAACATTCTTGCTTTTCATCTTCTACAATCTTTTCTTTCCTCTGGTTACCTCACCATCTGTTTTTGTCCTTCTTTTGATCCTGTCTTTGTCTCATCTGGGTTACTACTTTAATATGAAAGACAATTTATCTTCGTTAATAGTTGCAAACAGTGCTCATTAATTCTGCCTCGCTTTTATTGCCCCATTTGTCATCTACATAGAAATATGTGCTTGTACCTGATGATGTATGTCTTCCTGATCTTTCACCGGTGTCTGTTGTTGTTGACTTGTTTCCCACTAGGGGGCAGTGGCACTATGCTGATGGTTCAGAGGAGATATCAGACTTGGTTTGGAGCTGACACCTTCCCAGAAACTTTCTGAGCATGTCAGAGGACTGACTAGCATATCAATGAGTCATGATGAATAATGAAGGTTCGAGGAAAGGAGAACATTTTGTTATTAATGTGAATCTGTTGTCTTTCATTTAGATTGCTGAGTTAGTCCCTTTGTAAAGAGAGGTGTGTTGACACTGTTATGGCGGGGCTGGTAATTTACTCTGTGACTGTGTGTGTGTGTGTGTGTGTGTGTGTGTGTAAACATGCATCAGAAGCTGTCAATCAGATGTAATTAGGGAGTCTCTCCTGCTGTCCTCTGACACTGTTTGAATTTACCTTGCAAACACTATGCAAATGTACTGTACGTGTGTGTGCATGTGTGTGGATCATCAGTTTGTGTTTATGGCTTGACTGAGTATCTGATTTTCTGCTGGTAACTGGTTAAGCTATGAGGCTATTTTGCATGTTTTACTTACGTCCACCCATTTTGAAATCAGTTTAGGTTTTGCAGTGTTATGTACACCAATTTAGTGTGTGTGTGTGTGTGTGTGTGTGTGTGTGTGTGTGTGTGCATGTCAGAGAGAGACAGAAAGAGGGAGAGCTGTGTGTGATGTCTAGAGTGGGGATCACATTGAGCCTGGGGGTAGGTGAACCTATTGTAAACAATGGATCTGACAGAATCTAGGCCTTCACATCTTTACTTCTGTGTGCGTTTATGTGTGTAGACCTTCATACAAGGCCATTGGAGGCCATTGAGGAACCCCAGGGCAGACTGACCTCTCTGACCGAGTGTCTTTGTGCCTCATCTCTTTAGGGGCTTTGTCTGTTTGAGGTGAGGAAGAGGAGAAGCAAGAGGAAGAAGAAGAAGACGAGGAGAGCTGAGGTGTGAGTGAATGCAGCCATGGCTTGTACTTCTTGTTCATAGAGGAGCTACTCAGTGGAAGTGAGTTCACAGGAGACAGAGTTACCAACAGGTGAGATAATGTCCTGCCTAGATGCACAGGATGGCACAAAACAAAAAGTATACAGACAAGAAAAAACATAAGGCTGATACTAAGAATTATTTTAATTAATGACTGATTTATTGTTTAGTTTATAAAGGAAAGGAAAGCATGAACATGCCCATCACAAGTTCCCAGAGCTCAAGTTGACATCTTCAGATGATGTCAAATATTGGATTTAAGTTAAGTTTAGTTTAAAAATCCCACGGCTGATAGAGAACACAGACGTTTTGGCATAGCAGCTTTCCTCAGTGTAGTCAACTTATACTGCCACTCAGACACTTCTACCCAGCCAGCGTGATGAGTTCAGGTGGAACTGATAACACTAATTAGTGCTGCCTCATGTCACTAAACAGGAAAACAAGCAATCAATACAGCACTTCACTGCAAACAGGAATCTCTACTCCTGTATATGTATATTTTCTTACTCCTGTCTATATATTTTACTCACACTCATGTATAACCTGTAACTCCTGCAATGTCTGTCTTGTCCTTGTAAAATGATTTACTTTGGAAAAACAAAAAGCAAGAGAGGCAATCCAACAGGATGAACATACAGTAGATGTTCCATTAAGAGGGATTATGTCAATTCACCAGTAGCACAGCATTTTATGGAAAAGAACCATACAGGAAAAGATCTAAGGTGCACTGATGTTGATACTGTGGATAACACTTTCTTAAAACTGGAGGCAAAATGGATTTATAGACTCAACAGTTTGTTCCCAAATGGCCTGAATGAAGAAATGATTCTCACACTGTACGTATAAAGACCTCCAGTTCTTTTCAACTGTGATGGCTTGCTAACTTGATGTAGTAGTTCAGATGTTGGGGGCCTTCAAATTGAACTGATTTAACCTATTACAGTTGGTTTGTAGTAAATCATGTAGTAGGATTAAATATATAAATCGTCTGACTCAAGTTTGAATTTCCCATTTTTCTAAGGGTTCTAAGGTTTAGCATAGCACAAAATGGTGCACAGGAGTAAAATATATGACCTGTGGTAATGGATGGAGGTTATCTTGTATATACTGTATGTTTGCAGTGAAGTGCTGTTACTGATTGCTTGTTTTCCTGTTTAGTGACATGAGGCAGCACTAGTTTCTGTTATCATTTCCACCTGTACTGATCACACTGGCTGGGTAGAAGTGCCTGAGTTTCAGTCTAGGTTGACTACACTGAAGAAGGCAGCTGTGCAGAAATGTCTGTGTCTATCAGCCATGTGATTTTAAAGAGTAAAACTTAAATTTGAGGCATCTTTCAGACGGTGAAGGCCTTTTTGATTTTGCTTGACCCTTGCTGAGAGCACCTGACTTATATTTTAAACCCAGTCTTTTTTTTTAACAATAGATCTGAGAGGCAGAGACCTGCCTTTTGCTTGAAAAATAATATAAACCATTATCACAAATGCAGTCTATTAATTTTAAACTTGTCTCAGCAATACCAATAGAAGAGTGGAATGATTCGTTGGTCAACAAAAAATAAATCAGTAATTTTTTGATAATTAAGAATTTTCTTTCAGAAAACGTCATTATCACCTTCATGGAGGAAGATTTATTGTAGGGCTGTTGGATTAGACTGCATTAGTTTTTGCTAGGTGTCCCTAATGAACCGGCTAACTGATATGTTGTTGTTTCAGCTTATTGATCAGATAAAACAAACATTTTATCAATTTGGGCCTTGGGAAATTGAAAAGGCTGATTTTTACTATTTTTGGACATTAGCAAAATTAATCAATTAATCAAGAAAGTAATCTTCAGTATAACTGATAATAAATTAATGATTAGTTTTAGACTTAAACCAACTATTATTTCTGGCCTGAGCCTTATGTTTCTTTTATTGTGACCTGTCGTGACTCGTAAAGTCCTTTTTTTAAGTGTCTGCTGCCAGAAGAAAATTGAAAGAGTTAATCCTAATGTAAAATTAATAGGTATAAATGGATGCTGGCAGCATAGTGGTGGTGCCAGTGAGTTACTGATACCCTCTGCGTCTACAGTGTGTGTGTGTCTTTGTATTGCTTACATTATAGGGACAAAACCCGTTAACACACTCACATTGTGGGGACTCGGCCTTCAAGGAAATCATTGAATTCTAGGGTGGCAACATGATGTGAGGTTAAGGTGGGGTTAGGTGTTAGGCAAGTAGTGGTTATGGTTAAGGTTAGGATAAGTCTATAGGAAATGAATGTAAGCCAATGTAAAGAAAGGAAACACAGTGTGTGTCTGTGTGTGCAGGTCCATTCTGTTCTCAAACTTGGCATTTTTCCTTTGACCCTTCCCAGCTCACCTCTCACACTGCTTGTTCAAAAAGCAATATTTTTTTTTTCTGTGCTGCTGTGCCTCCTGTTTTTTTTTTGAGATTTCTAACCTCTTCTCATGCCCTCTTCCTCTTCCCGCTCCCCCTTTGCTCCCTCGTTGCCCCTCTCTCTCCTCTGTCCAGCTCTCTCAGGATGAAACTGTGGGGGAGGACAGCTTGGCCTTTTCAGGTGACCTTCCTCGTTGCCTTGGTGATGCTCTGCATTGACCCAGTGTCCACTGGCAACCGTAACCATCGGGGACCGACAGGTACACCGGGTCTTGCTCTGAACCCCCATTCCAACACCATGAGAGGTTAATTACACTGTCACTATGGAGGTACAACACATGTTCCCCGAGCCTGTCACTGACTGAGCCATCCCCATCCCGGAGGAGGGGTGGGGGAGGGGGAGACGGCTGACCAGGGACAATTTGCTGTGTCCCTCAGTATGACAGAATGTAATCTAGACAAGACCTCGTTTTGGATTGAGACGCAAACACACAAACCCTTGTTTGAATGATCGAGCCCAAACAGATACAAATGGCACTTAAGCTGTCAGGAGCTGTCAACACAAATAGATGCAGGCATCCAGTTCAGGGCTGATGCTGTTGCTCTCAGGCAGCCTGATTCTTCATGATTTAGAAGTCACTTTAAAATGTGGTGAATATCTCCTGTAGAAGATGACATGACAGTTAATCCTGAAGCCCATAATTGTCAGTCCCTACATAATATGCCTAGTTCTGCACTCCCCCCTTTATCCAAAGCCCCCCTACACTTATTCCCAGAGATACCCCTAAAAAGAAGTCAGTGTTGACAGGCCCACAAGCTAAATCAGTTCTCTGTCTTTAATTTCTGTGAGTCATAGAGACAAGCCTCCCCCAACCGAAAAATGACTAACATAGTCTTATTAATATTCCATTGGGTCTGGCTACAGGAACAGTTATGCTGAGTCACAGCATCTTGTGCCTCAACTTGCTGGAGACACCCTCCCAAGTCACCTCTTCCTTGCACTTAATTATGACAGTGTCCTTAATTATCTCTTGGTTTCTTTGCTCTCACTGCTTGTGTTTTGCAAGGTGACCTTTATGTGCCACAGAAGCGCTACCAGCAACCAGTCTGTGCAGCAAGCAATGGTATTAGTTTCCTTTTTGATGGCGAGGAGGCAGCCTGCTTACGGCAGGGACACTACTAATTGCAGGCCCTGTGTATTGTGAAGGTCAGCATGGGTATCCACCTCATTCTTGCTTCCCTCTCGCTGTGAAACGAGATGCCTTGCTCTCAAAGTATCTAGTGCTTTTTATTAGAGGGTTTACTTTAATTGATGGGAGTTTAGGCCTCGTTGGCTGTGAATACAAACATGACACACACACATACAAGCACAGCAATGTGAGGCTGGAAAATAATTGGCTGTACCTTATGACTGTTAGTTTTCTGTGTTGTCTACTTAAGTGCTGTTTTGTCAGCAGCTCAGTGAGGCATTAGTTTGATCCATGTTGCTGGCGATGTACCATTAGCTGCCACATGGTGGCTCTAGAGGTCAAAAAATGCTCAGCCACAAGTATGTGTGTATTTTTTTATGCCTTATTCTCATTTACTCAGTGTCATTCTCAGAGACAATATATCACTTTACAGTAGTTCACCTCAAAGGCTCAAAGGCACACACACACATATATATACAGTACAACAGTTCTGCAAATAAATATAGTCATCAACTTCAGTTTTTGGTGAACAGCATAACAAAGCACAGTCTCCACAATAACTATACAGCTGAATCAACACATCTCTAAAACAGATTCTACAAAACTGAACATTATCACCTTCATGCATGTATTGCAGGACAGCTATATTAATTAAATCCAAGGTCTAAGTCCTGGATGATCCCCCATTCTTTTATAACCTACTGTAGCTCTGAGGTTATGGCAAAGAAAGAAAAATACACATACAGGTAAGATCAAACAAAACCTGTGTATTTACAGGAACTACAGTGAATACACTAAAATATATGAATGGAACAAACAATATATCAGTGGAGAGAATGTTTAGGGTTATGGCACAATGCTGCAACATTAAAATAAGGACAACTAAAGCAAACTAAACAAAGAAAATGTGGTGGTGGGGGGCAGAAGTGGAGCAAGAGGGTAGGAATGGGGACAACTGATCCTAAATGCATTTTGGATGGACTGGTCAGTTGCACCCAGCTGTACTAATACAATTTCTATCCACCAGAACTTGATGGGAGACACAAAACACAAAACACAAAACACAAACAGCCCAAGGCAAGACACAAACCTGATGGGCCACACATGCCACCAGAACAGCTTCACTGTACCACAGCATTGATTCTACAAGTCTCTGAAGTCTACCGGAGGGATGAACATCATTCTTCTAACTATATTCTCTCATTTGACATTTTGATGGTGGTGGAGATGCCACCCAGCACGTCTGTCCAAAATCTCCCATAGGTGTTCAACTGTAGCATATGAGTCCCATCATATTCATTTACATCAAACCATTCAGTGACTCGTCTTGTCCTGTGGAGGGGGCCACTGTTATACGGGAGGAAACCACTCAGATCCAGATAGAAATAGGATAGAGGAGATCTCTCAGAACGGTTCTGTACAAATTTGCAGTGGCCTTTCCCCCTAAGTGGCCAAGTGAACTCTAACCATGCCAGCATCTGCCTCAGAATCAATGAAATTGAACTGAACTTTTCATATGGTGCTTTGTCATTCTTTTTTGAATGCTTAAAATTAAACTAACTTTTGCCCTCGAACTTTGACCATTAGAGAATGACTCAGGCGGTATCCCCTCCTCTGCTCCCTCCACTCCTCCTTGCCCTCCTGTCCTGCCTGTGAAACTATGTCATATATGGTAACTACAGCTGGAGAGAGACTTGGCAGTCATGCAGCTCAGCAGTAACATGAACATGAATGGAATATTGTCCACAGAGCCTGTGGTTTTCAGTGCCATTGCAACGACGCCGGTCCTTTTTCCTAAAACAGTAACACAAACAAATTATACAAAGGAATGTTTTCCCAGTGATATTGATATAGTAGTAATGTTCCTGTAACTATCCCATCACGATCACTCGTTACACATAGCGTTATAAGGCAACCGTGAGTTGTATGTGAAACAAGAAAAATTTGATGTTACGTTTTGATAGTTGAACAAACTCCTCACTTTTCTAGTTGTGTTGATGGTGTAGATTATAACAATGTCTCACCAAAATGCTTCATGGGCTGCTGTGTTATGTCTAACATAAACTGGACCAAAGCTGAGCAAAAATTAGCAAATTGATCAAAATGACTTTATTTAATAACTCAGGGGTATGTTTCGGTTTCTGCTAATTGAACAACAAAACACTAACATTGCATCTAGTTGGAATGACTCTAAATTACAACCAGAATAATTCAGTACAAATGTACAAAACTGAAATGCTAACATTAGCTTGCTAATGATGCCGACATAAACACGTTAGCCAGCTGCAGTAATTAGCCATCTAGCAGGAAGAAAGCCACATCTGTGTCAAATTTTAGTCTTTTGGATGATTGCAATGCTCTCCATCTCTGAAAGGCCAAACTGATCCTAACTCTGGTTTTGCCTCATTCTTTGTCGCACTCTTTCTGTGCTACAGAACATGGCCACTTGGGTCTAACAGGTCTGCTCCCATACTGGGTTGTACCTGCACAGGAGGCCTACATGGGCTGTCTTTGAAATGAGCCATACTGGTTTGAAAAACATACCTCATAACCTTAGATCAATGGGGCTGTGGAAAAAGTGTGGCACGGATTTTACAGCAGGGAGAAAACACTTCTAGACAATTTTCAAAGTTATTTGAGATGAATAGTTCAGTTACTTGCTTAACTCATATGGCAGCTGTTCACAACATGTTACAGCTTGATTAGAGAACCAAACTTTTTTTTTCTTCGACATATTGTTCATCCCTGGTTTAACATGATGTAGATCACAAAATATATTTTCACTTTCCAAAAAAAGAGATTTGTTCGTGAAGTCATGGAGTGTTAGTGGGACCTCCTGTGCTCACACTGGCTCATGTGAGGAACTCCCATACATACTCAGTTATTTCTGCATGAAAATGGCTTCTGTCAGGGCTATTGTCATATTTATGCTATAACAAGCTTGTTGTAGACACATCTTAGACTATATGTGTGTGCACACTCTGCTCCTGTCTGTGCGTCGTTATCTAAGCTTCTTTAAGATGCTGTAAAAAATAGCAAGTAGGCTTTATTGGGAATAGATTTGTTGAGTACTCAGCTGTACTGGGGAACTGTTATGATAATTAACATAAAGCCAGAGGAGGCACGATCTAGGCCTGTTAAACACTGATAATGCCAGGAGGATTGATGAGCTGTGCTGGACCAGGGTGAGGAAGCGATAAAGCAAGTGAGGAGAGAGGGGCGATGGAAAAGGAAGGGCAATGGGGGATCAAAATGGCAAATGCACAAGAATAGATACAGTTACTTTATTGTTGTCACTACATCGTAAAACACAACAAAACTTTGTCTGGCACAATTCCCAGGTAGCAGCAGCTGTCTAGGATAAATAGACTATACCAAACAAAAAAGCAAACAAACAAGTAAATGAATAAATATTCCACTCAAAAATAGATAAAATTCTAAAATTCCAACAATTCATTGTTTCAAATACAAATAATGTTGGTTAAAATGATAAAAAGGTAATGAGCTGCCATAATTATCAAAGAAATGAGAATGGGTTAAAACTGAGAAAGGAAAACATTTGGAGATTCAGGTGTAACATCTGAATATGTTGATTTATAAAATAAAGAGGATTCGGGAAGATCTTTGCCATTGCTCTTCTATCTTCTTCCACACAACTATCATTTTAATCTTGCTGTCTTGAACCTTACCAGTGTCTTCCTACAGAGACATACAGTGCAGTGTGTCCTCTGGCCTTTCATAGCAATGGACTTGATTGTCAGATATTGACAAGGGAAAGGTACAGGTTTTTGATAAATTGCAAAGTGCTCCTGCTTGTCTGTGTCTGTCAGAATACATCAATCGCCTGGCTAACCCATCAGTTCAAGGTAGCTTGAACTGATGGGTTAGCCCTATCGCACAACATCCCGTTCCCCTGCCACGGGAATAGAAGCGTTTAGCCATGCTCGAGAAGTCTTTTCATCTCAGTGTGTGCTGGGCTCTATTACACTGAGATGGCCCAAACAGAATGGTTTAAAGGCAACACTGAGACATTAGATACACTGTTATGTGTATATGGCTGGAGGCCGGCTGCTCAGCTCATGAATCTTAAGCAGATGAGCGGTGAGAAGCAGCCGTGCCAAACAGGGGCTGGTGAGAAAAGGTAAAACTGAGAGTGCTCAGGGTTGTGCTGCGGTACTCGAGTCCGCTCGCCAGACCACTTTTCTGATTTCTCAGACTTGTCTGACTGTTTCGATTCAGACCTCTTGGCTTTCTATGGTTTCGCTGTAGTTGCTCTGCACGGCAACTCCTAGTTATTGACCTGGGTTTAAGCTTTTAACTTCTGGAACAATGGACATCATCTGAAAATGGACTTTTCTGTGGCATTCTGCTGCAGAAAATCACAAGGTTTTTATGTTGACACTTTCCCAGTTTGTTCTGTAAGAAACACACAAGAAAGCAATTTTAAAACATTGACAATGTTGAAATATTTTTATCATGCACAAAAAATGCTAATATTATTTCATGGTAGACCAGTGTTATTCCTGTAAATATCTGACATTGCTTCACACCTTGTGTCTCTGGGCAGCAAGAGTGAATGGTTTTAAGATTATTTTCCCACATTTAGGTAACACCTCATAAGAGTGTTACTACCTCACCCCAGGATAGAAGACAGTTTTTCACTGTCAGTATTTTTTTTTAGTTTTCTCAGAAGCTGAGAGCAAAATCACAAACTCAACAGACTTGTTTATTCTGATGTTGATGTTGTTTTGAGCTATGCTGTGAAATATGCTGTGAGATGAAAGAAGCTTCTTTGTGCAGGTCTAAAGAAGTGGACATGCCTGCAGTCACTGGGAAAAGCTACTTGTTTCCCACACAGGAAAGCGGGGAACAAAGCAGCTTTAACTCTTTTTTTCATCTCTTTCATCTGCAGGATATGATTTACTATAACTCTGTAGACTGGAAAATCATATTCCTTCACTACTTCATTAGACTTATGGTCATGACACTTAAAAAAAATATTATAAAGAACTGCATCTTTGGCATATTTCATTTTATTCCAGCTAACGTTAGTTACAAAGGCATAAAAGAAAAAAAGCATCATCTCTATCTTTTTTCATCATCTCTAAACACTAAAGTTGTTTTCAGTGTCCTTTGAAAAGGAAGACTTTTAAAATGCTTTTTAAAATACCGAGGGCCTTCCAGCCTGTTTTCTTTAAGTAATAGAAATCTCTTTCTGAAAAGAATGTGGACCATCCTTAATGTCCTTACACCAGTTAGAATTTTTTAATCAATGTACAATGTACGAACCCGGGCCTGTTTTCAAAAAAGGAGCATAAATTAAGTTTGGGTGGATTTATCTTCCAACGTTCCGACTTTCAAAGCTTCAGCTTACAGTAGGTCTGACGTAGGCAATACAGAGTGAACCGTGAACTGTCTGACCTCATTATGCCAGCAGGAGGTGAGTCGCTCTTTGTTCTCTCTGCTACCAGTGACACCACTCCCCCTCCTTCTGTGTGACTTGCTCTCTTTTCACTAACAAGCTGCCTATTTCTGAGAGAGGGGCAGCCGGCTGACCAGGCTTACCCAGCCAACACTTCACACTGACAGTGGAATTCATTTTCAGTACAGAATAATAATAATAATGAGGGTGAAAGTCTGATCGAAACAAAGACAGTTTTGAAACGTACTTGAAGTTTGTTTTTTTTCCTTCAGGGCTTTTAAACTGTGATTGTTAATGTTATAATTATGAGTTATGTTCTTTTCCAGGTTTCTTTCAGAACACATAGGCTGTATGTCTTTGTGCACGTATGTGTGTGTGTGTGTGTGTGTGTGTGTGTGTGCAGCTGCTCCAGCCTCAGGAGAGCCTGAGACCGAGGAGTGAGGGAAATGAAAGTGGAGGGATGATAGCGGAGGGGCGCCCTCAGAGAGCCAGGGATCATTGATGGGGCTCTCTGGAGAAGAGAACAAACAAACTTTAAATCAGAAAGGATGAGAGGGGCCATGGCCTGCAGAAATGGAACCCTCTACACACAATGCGTGTGTGTGCTGTGTTTGTGTGTTTGCAGCTGTGTGTATGTATGCACACTTGTGTGTCTGCCTGCAGAGCTCATTCAGCTGGGCATGAAAAGTTTTGGAGTCTGGGTAAAGTCACGTACATAAATGAAATCATGGCTTATGGTACAGTATGACCAAGGTTTTTCCAGGGCTGTAAAGAGGCTTATAGGTAGTAATGTCACCAGCAGGGTTTGCTGTGCTCAGGGAACGGTGCCAGAGACTCAACAAGCTTTGAGAGTGAAAATAAGGTAGCTGGAACCCATTCAGGAGCCATAAGCAAGGCCTTCCTCCTAAGAGAGTCATACCGAGTTTAATGTAACATTAACATGCAATGCGCACTTACATTAATATACATTGTCCTCACAGCATCCTCATGTACACATACTGTAGTAGATGCAGTGATCTTACATCATACAGTACATAGCATTCTTATTCATGCACATACAGTAATATTGCTGTAATATTGCAATATTGCTTCAGTAGCATCATGTACATAAAGATTTTGCAACTGGACAGAAATCGAACCTGGGCCGCAGCGGCGAGAACATCGAATCCATAGCCACTGGTCGCAACTGGACATAAATTATTGGATTAAAATTTACTTTAAGTTAATAATTTATGCCCTTCTGTCTCATTATTGTCAGGGGAATGGTATAATTAACCAGGCTGATGTTCCCAGGGAAGTGTGGAGATAATCAAGCAAAATTAGATGCTGTTTGTGTGTTGGAGGTGTCAGGTGAAAAGCAATTGTCCTCATATTGGTGATGACTTTCAGAAACATGCACACATGAATTCAGAGAAGCCCACATAAATATGCACTCACAGGCAAAAAGAAATGTCAGAAAGGCAGATATATGCATGCAGGTGCAGACGAGCAGCCATCTGCACACACTTATTGTACAGTGTAGTATATATTTGTATACATACTATGGGCTCAAAAGTGCCTATAAACACACACACTTCACAGCATGTAACAGTTACGGATGGACTGCCCCTCTACACAAGTCCCTGAAAAATGTGCATGACTTTGCATAATGTTTTAATTTGAAAGGGATGCAAAGAAATTATTTTTCAACATATTGTGCTGTCCTCTTTTATCATCCTGCACACAGTGACAACAACAAAGCCATCTCTGTGATGAAGTTAATCAGGGCACGGGGCTGAGAATACTGCAAAAGCAAAATGTCATTAAAGAGGCTTTACTTATGAATCAAAACGTGTGAAACTGGAATAAGTCCAGGAGTTTACACAAAAGTAAATCATTTAGAGATTTGTTTATTCCTCAGAGAGGCTGTTGTTGTGAAGATTTGATTATTCATGGAACAAATTTATGTGAATGTCAACTTTTTTTTTTTGCAGGAAAATGTCAAAATACCAATAAGACACTTTTTAAAAGTCCATGAATTTCCAGCACATAACCCCCCTCTCCTATCCTTTCTGTCTTTTTCAGTCTCGTACCAGGTGAAGCAGGGGACATGTGAGGTGGTGGCCGTTCATCGCTGCTGTAATAAGAATAAGATTGAGGAGCGCTCTCAAACCGTCAAGTGTTCCTGCTTCCCGGGGCAGGTTGCTGGCACCACTAGAGCCAGACCCTCCTGTGTGGAAGGTAAAAAATCTACAACCCTGTGTGTCTGTGTTTGTGTGAATGCGTACATTCACTTTTGCAGCCTCAAGATCCAGATCCACCATATTTTATATGTCTAACTTTAAGCATAATTTCTAAAATCTGCAAATGTAGCTATACAATCAGTCTGTATTTGTTGAAAAGAAAGGGAGGTGATCCGTGTAGTGCTTAAATGTTTTTCAATATATAAAATGAATTATACAAAATTAGATTTGAATTCAACTAAAACAATGCATTTTTCTTTTGTCAGATGTATAAGAGTTAGTAGAAATTTTCCATTGGTGAAATGTTGAATAAACAATTATAAAAACTCTCTTTCTACTCATGCCATGGGTTTCACAGTCTGCAACAACTTGCATCTGATTGGGGGCTGTTTCGCTCATTTTCTGGTGCCAGCCGCTGCACCTGAAAGTGTTCATTAGGTATGCAAACACAGCAGCCACATTGCCCCCATGCCAAAACACAGGCTTGCCAATGCTGACAGTCTGAGCCAATATACGAAATGTGCCATGTAGAGCTATCAAGTTACATACTACCTCTGGTTATTTACATGGGAGTGCACAGTATTTTTTCTAAGAGTTGGCGATGATGCTCAAAGTGCATTTAGTAGGAAAAAAAGTTGGTGTAACTCTCTTACATCTGTGATGTCATTGGAAGACAGGATGTAAACCGTGAAAGCAGGCGGGATGACTGGTTAGTTGGCCTGCTTTGTTGACCAATCAGATGCAAGTTGAGCCTGGCACTTAATCTGGCCTCTCAAGTGACCCGGGAAGTAAAAGTAATAAAAATATTTGTTTTCTGATTTTCTTTTTCCATTTTCTTTTCAAAATTCCACAAATATAAATTTTAAAAAAGAGTCAAAAATTGTACTTATTTACTGATCAGAGAAATTTAAAATACACCTTTGGAAAATTTATTTCAGCTCTTCTTCACACAAATATTTGAAGATGTTGTACCACCTGGCAATTATTCTACCAGAGATGCTCACTGATCTCCAGTCAATGGTCAATGAAGTAACCAGTAGTACAGTATTAAAACTATATTATAATTACAGTCAGGAAAATATTCAAACCCAAAATGCTGTATTTTCATGGTGGCACCATTAAATGTTTGAGTTATCTTGTGCATCATTTTATACACATTCACCCACAGTTCTGCAGTAGAGCCGCTACAATTCTGTTTGGTATCTATTGGAACCCTTGAGAACATGGATAGAATTACAAATGAGGTTTTGTACATTTGGACAGCGCCTTGCTGCACAGCCTCTTTTTATTATTAGTGATGTGCTGCTGAATCAGACAGGATCAAACAGGATAAAATGTTTTTAATCATCTCGCATCATTACAATTGCTACTATAACTTCTTACCTAAAACAAATCATTGCCTGATTCATTTTGACATATCTGTGACACAAATAAATAAGTCCAGGGAAGGAAGGAGTAATAGATTGTGCAGCTAAGTTGGATTTTGTATGAAAATAGATGTTTTTTTGTTTTTATCAAATCAAATCAAATCAAATCAAATTTATTTGTATAGCGCCAAATCACAACAAAAGCCATCTCAGGACACTTTACAAAGTAAGGTCTAGACCTTACTGTTATCAATATTATTACATAGGGAAAACCCAACAAATCCCCCTTGAGCAAGCACTTGGCGACAGTGGGGAGGAAAAACTCCCTTTAACGGAAGAAACCTCCGACAGACCCCGGCTCTTGGTGGGCGGCCTTCTGCCTCGACCGGT